CCAGACGGTTGTTGCAACCGCCTGTCAGATACTTTCTGACGCTAGTTAAAATCCAAGCTGAAAGCTACAAAAATGTTATGTGGAGAAGATATTGTTTCTAGGAGTTGCAATAAGAAGTCTGTGGTTTATGGTCCTTTTGGTGGCAACCATAGAAAAACTCCGCAGTCAATTACATAGTAGACAGATTCAGTTAGTGAAAAGATAAAGTGCTCAAAACGAAATTAACCGGATAAGGCAAAGTGGAGCACAATGCGTACGAAAATTTGTGTCCAGTCAACTTTTATGCAAGCCTTAGCAACAATCGTTAGCACTAGCAAACATGCGTCTAATACAAAGGATTAATACAAGTAAAGTAGGGGACTCATACAGGAAAATACGCAACGCTAATGAGATATAAGGAACAACATTAAATGTGTATGCACAGAAGTCACTGTAAATGAAAGTCGTTTTTAGGATAACTACTAGACAGTGAGGAAAGTGCTAACGAAAAGTAAACTAATACTTTTATTACGGTAAGACTCCTATTTGCTCCGGTCTAAATGATGAGTTTCAAAACTGTGCATAAGCCTTTGGTTCCACTTCCGCTTACATGCACTGGACACGAATGTGAAAGGCACAGCTTTACCCTGCTTAACTCATTATAATTTCGGCCTCTTATAAATGCACATTAGTTTGGTTCCCATTGACCGGCTCTTGATTTGTTGGCAGCATACATATAAGTTTCGGGCTCGTGTACGAAGTATATCTCATTGGCTGCTGACGTCCGCTGCCAAGGTAATCCTGATAAGATTATATTTCGAACCCAAGTGTCTCGATGAAGATTGTCCCAGCAGTCCAGCCACAGTAGCATGAAACCAAAATGGCGACCGCACCATAGCTCACGGCCTCTTATCAGCTGAATGGAATCGCCAACCCATGAACAAAGCAACAACACAGCAGATAGATGCGTATCTGATCCATTTCAGCTCATCGCACTACTTTTACACCTGTGTACTATTGTAAGATATCTGCTGGGTTGTCAGTCCAAATAAACATTTGTGTAAATCAACGTCACCCGTGGACTGTTGACGAATGATAAAACAGTTACTACTTTGGTGCTGGATATCAGCCCCTTAGTCCTGACGCCCTCGTCGGAAGTACCAGATATGCAAAATACCTAGCAATTATGTGCGGAAATTAGGTTTTGTAAGTGGCGGAGTACATTTGTCAAACTTAAAAGTAAAACGGCTATGTTTGAGGCAATTGTTCATATTTGTGTAAGAAGTACCGAGACCTAAACTTTCCCTCTCCCAATTATCAATTTCTGAACATTTTAGCATTCACTTTGTCTCTAAATTCCTTAATGAGCCCATGAGCACTAATGGCTAAACGCTGTCTGCACGTTATACTCTGTAGACAATTAATTCTTTATCTTTGATGATTATGTATTGCTAATAATGATCTGCATTTTGCAGTTGTATGCCTATATGAATGTTGTGTGGTCAACTTAATGCCACAATGCTATTCCTGTTTATCAAATTTGAACTGATGACGTAAACTTTCTTGGAAAAGAAACTATTGCAAACAAAGTACTCAGCTCAAGTACAGTGAAACAGACGCAGTCATATCCAGATTTTCAATATTGGAAATGTTTTCAAGAAGGCTTGTATTCTTAATGACCACTTCAGTATGCAAACAGTGCGAAGTTGTTGGATATTCATGTGTTTCCATAGCCCTGAACTGTTTAAGCCCTTCTGCGTCGGTTGCATATTTAATGTTCTTAGTTGTCGCTAAATGGCAGACGAGCAATCAGCAACTTGTTTTCGTCCGCGATTGTTATCAATAAGTTATTACATCATGTATCCACCCACCCGTATGGCTTCTAAGTGGTGTGTCGTACAAGTTGCTGTACAGGAAGTCCAAGCTCTTGGGGCTAACTGCTGTCATCTGCAATGTTCCTAACTAGCATGACAGTACAGAATGAGCCGGGCCATATCAGAGTCAACTGTCCATCATACTGGTCCGCTGCCATCAACCTTGGCTTTGTGGCACTAGCCGTTGGCGCCTGGAAGTCATGAGGTCGGAATCCGGCAGGGGTCAGCTAGAAGGAGCATTACTAACGAGACCCAGAATGGCAAAACAGCGCTGACTGCCGTTTGTCCGGATTTTCTAAAGCCTGTGGACTGTGAGTTGACTGTGATACATTATGACTAAGTAAAAATCAGGAATTGTTTGCTTCATATTTGTTAAAACGCCGAATAAATGGGCACGAGATGATACAAGCAAATATATACGGTTTAAGTTCATCACAAAAACGCCGGTCTCTACCAATGCAAATATCATCAATTCACAAATGAAATGTGAGACAAGAAGGGATACTGGGTGGAAAATCTTGTTTGTCTAAAGTCTCCTAGGAAGCATTTGTTCAAATGACATCAAATCGCTTGTTGCAGCTTTTAAACGCATAATCATGACAAAAGATGTGGTTAAAATGGAAAGCTAAGAAATACACATTAATCATAGTATAGAGACTTGTAAGCTGTTTTCATTTAAGTTTGCATGGCACTTAGTATTGTGGTGTGATAAGCTACGGCTGTTTGAAACCATTGTTTGTTTTAGTTTTTTACAAACATGTTATAAAAGCTGCTATGCCTGAGTTGTTATGTGATTCAAAACATAAATCAGTCAGCAGAGGAAAGCCGAAATCGGATTAATTTCTGTCAGACAGCTAACTGCCATGATATTGTGGTTGATGAAAGCAACCTATAGAGTAAAGCTTTTCGCACTGATGTTCAGTAAAGTCAGTTTTGGTAACTCGTATATTGAAATTGCAAAAGAAAAAGTTATAACTTATTCACCATCGGCAGCAAACATTTGCGGTTAATTTTGTTACTTTACACTCCATTGAGATTTTTACCCAAGAATCCAATATTAAAGCTAATTGTCTTTGGGTTTGGTGCATGAGCTGCTACACCATATATATTGTTAAACGGTACACGCAGCTGTGGTTTCAGTGCAGATACATGAAGGATTACGAAATTGGCTGCGATAGCCGTATTATGCTTCTGCGAGATTTGATGACAACTTTCATTCGTATCCTTAATCGCTATCAATGGTTGTGCGCTGGCTAAATTAATGCCGGAGCCAGCCTGAAAACTGCGCAACTGAGCAACATTCCGTCGGTCAGGTTTAACTATTGATCACGTTTGCGTACATAAACTCCATCCTTGTCCACGCAAGTCAGCTGGGAAACACCGTTGGAGCGTGACAATGAAAACATTTTTAACACGCTCACAAGTTAACGCTTTTCATCAACAACAATTCAACAGAAATACAACATTCGGCTCCAGGTTAAATTGCTCACTAAGAGTGGGACAGATCTGTTGTTACGCCTCTCCTGATGTAGCTGTTCTAGCATCAGGTAAACGAAGTGTGAATTTGCGTAGAGTTCGTCTAATTATGCGGGACCCCAAATGTTTTGTATTGTAGTGTAATCCCATTTCAGTTTATGGTCATTTATTTGGCAACACATTATGTTTGTTTGTCTCAATTTGTACAGATGTTTTAGCAGGTTAAACACATGTGCATAATAGCACGGATAAACGGCTGATGTCAACTCTTCACACATATTTTGTTGTGAGCAATGCACGTGGATATCGAACCAAAGGAATGTCGGTTGTTTGAACACAGTCCTGAGCTAGTGTGAAACAACGTAAACCAACTCTTCCACACGAGTGGAACCAGTATCCATAGTATAGGTTTACCATAGCGAAGAGCACGTTAGGTTTGTACACTTCTATATCATAAAACACAATGAGACTATGCAGATCCCTGTCGACTATCCCAAAGCTGCAAGAAAGAGGTAATTGTCTTGCAGTCAAAATAAGCAGACATAGACGGAATATACTGGCTTAAGTGCCATGTGTCAGTATCATAATAGTTTCATTCCTACATTTTACAAATCTGATATATATATATATATATATAATCAACTAAACCTATTTTGGACTGTACGGGTTCACACATTGCATTTGCATTAAGGAATGCAGCATACTGTATAAGATCGAGTCATCGCTTCTGTTGCGGTGCTAAAAGCAAGGAAACCGAAAGATTATACAAGCTGTAGAAGTATAATACGATCCAATTAATTTTCAAAATTTAGCGATAACTTGCGCAATAAGGGACAGGGTAACAGTAACTTGAGCTTTGCGTTGCAGCCAACACAAGTGGAAGAAAAGCAAGCTCACCTCTTTCGTTAATGAGAAATTACGCACTAAGTTCTCAATACTAATGTGTGCACATAATAGCACTGATTAGGAGAAGCCTATGCTTATTAAGCCCTGGTGTAACATATTCATTACCGTTACTTACTAATTAATGCTTAAGCTCAGCACGTGAACGAAGTCTATTAGTGATGACCCATGGGTGTTTTTCGCCGTTGCTAACAGTCCTAGTTTGAGCTCATCCCTATTCACTATGCTACCAAGTCAGGCTTAGTACTGCGTATTAAGTGTTATATATATTTATAAATATATGGAAGTTTGAACTAAATATCAGCGTAACTTAGAAAACGCGATCGTTTTGGAGCTCAGTGCGTTATGCGAAATAAATTTCCCTCCATAATATAACTGATGTCCATTTGTTGTCATGAACATTATCGAAGCTGCGCTCTTTGGCTGCATAAACCATGGGAGAGGCACCGTCCATTTTTGTCACATGAAAACGGCGCCCAGTGAGATTTAACATTGGAATCAAGGGACCCAACTTAACTCGTTCAATAATGCGTAAGCAAGTGTTTGCACGCCGCTTAATTGAATGCTTTTACGTGGCCGTATAAAGTGCCTTGCGCTAAACAGGTTATGTTAACCTACTTATAGAAAAAACACATTTGCTGTACTGCAAGGTGGGAAAGAGATTGGGACCTACGCAACACGTATAACCATTACGTTAATTTTGGTTATCGAATAGCATTAACTGTAATTGCAACGGCAACCACTTTCACACCTGGAAGCATAACTCACTCCGAGAATGTCTTGTAATTCTGTTTCACGAGAGTTGACTTCATCCCATCTGAAACAAAGCAGAAAGAGATCAAATGTGTGTTTCCATATAAAGAAAGACATAATCAGGTTGCCATTTGCGAAGTCAACAGTTTCTTCTACTTATTTTAAAAAGTTATGCTGAACATAAGAATTACTGTCATCTTTCCTCCACTTCATATCAGGATGAAGTTGTGATATTGTACCTACCGGTTTATATGTGGCACCTGATAATATAAAATAAGTAACTGGTTCTTACTAAACAAAAACAATGGATTAATTCGGACGCACACTCGACAAAATGCCACCTGAGCGGTAGTCTGCTCTTACTATCTATGTGGCGTTAATTTACTAAGTGCCAAACTAATGGCTCACTTCATCTTGTTTGGGCCTCGCATAATGACCAAACATAAAGAAAGGTTTCGTATAAGACAAAGCTTCCAGCCCCTGGATTCATGTAGAGAGAATAACACATTCTCCGAAGAGCATGTCTAGCGAATTTCTTTATTGTTTCGGCCAGTAAATTAGCATGTAGTTCATTTGCATGCAACCTAATTGGTATCTCACACTTACATTAGATTAACATCCAACCTTTACCAAATTTTAATTATAGGATATGAAAACGCTTGGTTTTAACGTTTATTGTTATGATTAGCACTGGAATAAAGTAGTTGCTCTTACATAATCACAGCTCTTCGACAGTCTGTTAAGTTATTGCACAAGTAAAATACTTTAGCTGCGCCTGTAAGGCAGATTACCGCAAACACTGATAATAATGGATACGGCTTCGCAACTTATAGTCGTATTCTCATAGTTGGATAAACGGTGATAGTGTTGGATAGTGTAATATGATCGTGAAACCTCAACGTATTTAACGCTACCGAGAAATAGCCATACTCACTAATATATACATTAATTAAGTGCTTAACTACAGCGAAACCCTTCTTAAGATATCAGTGTGAATTAGATTTCCACCGAGCAACCATTCCGGGAAATTATATTCTTATTTTGATTAAAGGTAGTAACCGGTTTCTGCGGACATTCGATTGATCCTTATATGGTTGGTTCTAAGTGAAATCCCAGTTGCGATCTGCTTTGTTCGTCCGTGGGAATTTCCACATGCTTAACTTTTAGTAGTAACCTGAAATCATACGATTAATTTTAGTCAATGAAAATGAATAACCCTTTACATACACCTAATTCGCCAGGCAATTTATGGGATGTTTTTGTACGTTGCAGGTATATTTTTTGCGTGTAATAACCATACTAATGTTTTTAATGTGACGGTCTAACCAGATTTGCACATGCATGCGAATCCGCTCTAATGTTCACACTCACTTTAAGTACAACATGGTTTGATTGATTTGTTAATAGATTTTGGGGGTATCGTGTGAACATGAGATCTACAATGCCAACCGTGAAAGTACGCTGCTTGGAAATTCAGACAATGCATCCATGTTTATTCTGAGGCGACAATCGTAAGTCACTTTACTCAGAAATTTCCTTGAGATAATGGGCCTGGGTTCGGTACGTGGGCAGTCAAAGTTTCCGTGTTTTTCAATATAGTAGATAGTGGGCTTTTGTTCAAATTTTCCTCGGCGATTCACTCCAAAAATTTATCTTTCAGCCATTTCAATGGACAGCTGCCTCCCTCTTTCGTGAATCGTGCGCAGCGCACATTCCAAACATCGTCTGTGTGTCCAGAACACATGGCACTACGAATACGCGACCGTAGTCAAGACGAGTGGGTCAGGATGACGGGCAGCGGTCGCCATGAGTATACACACCATATCATAATCAATTAACCAGGATGGCTACCGATCATCTCTCTGGCTCGGCGATCTTAACCACAGGCACTTATGTTTTGTGTCGACAATTCTAATCCACAAGAGGGAAGTAGAATGTGCATGACTGACGGTACCCGCAAGGATGAAACGATCGTACAGTGCATGGTTCGAATGCAGGGGTTGCATGCTATTGTAACTATGACTAATCACTACGAAATAATTTGGTTTCTTCTGGGCAAATTCTGTGAATTAAATAAGGTACCTCATATATCATTCAAATAACTTCTTAAGTATAACACTTACAAACGTATGCCAAGCAACTGATGTAAGCATGCTAATGGATTTATTCTTACGGGGAACCTATAATAGCTTCATTTATTTTCGGAAGCATACGCTCAAGAAAGCGCGACTTCCTAGTGAGATAACACATTTTACCTGGTCCACTGCACCTGTTTCCTATGCATTGACTGTGTGCACGGTGTCAAACGAATAGTTGCGCCATCTACCTACAGTTACCCAGCAAACTCGATCAAAAGTGTTTGTGGGGTTTCCATATTATGTTTCCATATGTTTCCATATTATGTATCCCATACTCTTTTGGGATGCACTCTCGTCTCTGCTCCTAAATTGCTTGAAGGCTCGAGCACCACTGCATTGATTGTATCCACGTAGTGAGTGATGACTCCGTCAAAGCCAGTTTCATTAATATCCATTTTAAAGATTAGAATGATTCTATAAGACTGGACGTCAGTTGGAGGTGTTCAAAGCATTTCAGGCGTTCAGGTACCGCGATACATCATGGGCAGTCACTAGCTTCTCCCCAATTAGGCAAGTAACGGGTTGTTGTAGCTCGTTCGGAAGTCTAAATTCCCAGAGAAACCCATATACTAATTGGCACACCCATTCGACTTGAAGATTTCCTATTTACTAATAGTGGAGATAGATAGAAGATACTTGAACATGGTAATTTCGATATTCAAACATTACAGGATGGCTTTTACTTCCCCTCGATATAACATTTAGGCCGTCCTACTCGCTGGAAAACAAATGTTAACCATGACAGGTAAAGTTCCGTTTCTAATATTTCTGGCACGTATTCTGTTCTCATATTTATAAGATATCTTCATGTTGTAGCTGCTATGTTTTATTTTTATGCTGACCGGAGCACGGAATGTAGCTATGTCTCTTGATCTACCGTGTGGGCAGTTTGCCTGATCGAGTAACCGAAATGAAAACCAAACTATCCTGGCACCATCTGTTAGCTCATTCCCGTACAGTCGGAACACTTCGTCGCGATACGGGCTTCAGGGAGAATCCCACGCGCAGTAATGTATGTCCATAAACCTGAAAATTTAAATATCAGACGTAATTCCGCCGCTTTTCCAGCCTTACCAGTGCAACCCATCCATGCCTGAGCATAGTGAGCAACATGCACTCCTCTCATTATCAAGCGTTAATTGATTTGCAATGTGTCGGAGTTTATTTCCGGTACACGCTGCTTGCTAAATTTACCCTATTTCTAATGTGATTCATCGTTGCATTCCACGTTTATTTGTGTCTACTCTGTACAGTTAGCCTGATATATTTAAAACAAATCCTACGGAAGCAATCAGGGATACCAGCACACCCTTCATGAATAGATACCACATACAAAAGAAACGGTCTAGATGCTGGCAAACCAATCATGCGGTTTCAGCAGCCAGTACCTACGACAGTTTTCGAGAGGCTAGAATTGAGTGTAGGCAATATCTCTCGGATGACGGTCTCCAATTCAAGAAGGGTTCAACGAATTAGACCGCAGCTAATCCCAATGAGTTCATTGCTTAAGTAAAGAGGCACAGGGGGGCAAATATCTCTATAGCAGTAATACTATTAGCAGAAGGGATCAGTGAGCCTGCCAACTATGATAAATCTAGTATACTTAGCGAACAATATATTGCTCTTGAGACCACTTTACCACAGGATGAATTGGTTTCAATTGATCCAGAGCAAGCTTGCTGGGTAGCGTTTAACATGACGAAGACGCAGGTATTCAAACTCTTGCTTCCGTCCCTGATTCAATAAATCCGAGGCTGTTGCATAAATTGGCCGCGGAACAAAGTGACCCTATCACATGTGTGATTTAAAATCGTTTGAAAGCTGCGTCTCACTTTTGGAAATTAAAGAGGCAGTCAAATATCCGACTTTTAAAGAGAGTGACAGATATGTGTCCGCGAACTACCGACATGTCAGCTTGACAAGCGTAGTTGTAAAGTTGTTTGAAAAGCTCGTAAGGGATTCGGTGGCGAATCACCTGAACAAATTTAACCTTCTCAGTGTCACGCAACATGGATTCCGCAAAGGATTTTTGTGCAAGACTAATATATTTGTGGCTCTGGAAATCTCTGTAGAAGCGGTAGACACGGGCCAGGCTACAAACGTGCTATTCGTAGACTTTTCGAAAGTTTTTGACACTGCACCTCATATTAGATTCCCATTAAAGTTGGGGTCTTACGTGATGTCTGGCTGTGCACTTAAATGGATGTCCGTTTTCCTGGACGGAAGGGATCAGTTTGTACCCATGGGTGCAGCCATTCGCTTAAGCAAGCGGTCTTCATTGGGTTCCCGATGGGCTCAGTATTGTGGTCACTGTTGTTCGCGATCTATGTATATAACTTGCAGGGGGCTAGGAGTGTCTTGGTTAATGTCTGCAGACGACCTTAAGCTCTGGAATTGCTTGGTTATCCCGGGGATGCTGAGGTAAATCATAGTGCCTTGGATCTACTCTGGGAATAGTCAAACTCATGTTTTATGCCCATAAATGGAGCCAAATGCTCTGTTCTCCGAATTCGACCTGCTAGTCCCTCCAACCCATACATTGTCAGCCATAGTGAAATCCCTCTTATCACTCGACGGATTGATTTAGGTGTCACCCACTAATCAGTTCTTCACTCTAGCGACAGTTGAAAGACGGTTGTTTGTCGGAGGTTTCGTATAATACTGTTTATCAGCCGCTCCTTCGGAGTCTTAACGGCAGATATGTTAATGAATTTAACCTCGGCATTCGCTCGACCCAACTTGGAATATTATATCCAGGCTAGTCCACCGACACAAAATAGGCTTGGAGATGGTTTTGCGTGTGCCTACTAGGTTAAGTTAACCTAAGTGGGCAGACGATTGCTCAGTTTGGTGATGTACTCAATGAGTTACCGGAGGATAAGAGGAGACTTGATCTTCCCTTACCGTATTTGGATGGGTAATATCG